ATATCGATATATTCTGATCTATATCTGATCTGATGAGCGCGTTTGGCACGCGTTAGGACACACAACCTGACCAAATCAACACAGCTGAAACCGCATCAGATTAAATTAAATATCTAGTAAATAAACACATGATGAAGTGAACTTGATATGTAATTCGTCTCCCTCCTTTTCTTTCTTCCTCTTCCTCTTATTTCTCGCGCAGCTCGACCTGGACACGTCTCCGTGTCCTCTCTCTGTCTTGCAGCGGCTGAACAGATGATTTGTTTCAGTGATCAGATGTGTTATCTACTTTAAGCCTATATACGGATATTATAATATTCAGTTTTGTGGTCCAAATTTATTTTATATGCCAACATCTATGAAAGAAAGAGCCAGGCCACGGAGCGCGATGCGTCATTTACGCACAGATGGTTCCGATTTTAATGCCATTTTTGGAGTTTATGTTGTGATCTGTGCGCTCAACCCACCTTTGTCACGTGAGGTTTGAATATGAGCAACTTTATGTGAGTGTCTTTATTTGTGGAAAAGCTTGTTTGTCTTACCAGTGGGTCCAACATTACACACACCAAATCCATCTGTGCTCATATGAGAGAGTGTGGAGGATGCCCAATGCAGCGCTTAAAGTGACACTAGTTGAGGAGCTGCCCTTTGTCGCCATCGTGTGGCATTACTGTCTTCAGACATCTCTTGATCTCTTTACTACTTCATGAAAATTGTAATATGCCTCGCCTGTGGTGGATTTATAGGCAAGGAGAGGAGCTGATGTGATTGGTGGAAACAGGTCTCGGCTGTGTTAAACCCACTCCCCGCCCTCTCTCCTCCTTCGCTACGACTTACGCCGCTAGGAGGAGCTGAGTTAGGGAGGGGGGATACTTACGCCGGGCTGCACCGCTTTCCAAAATACCAAATTGTGCTTGGGCGCGGCGGACCTCTCTTACGCCGCGCATGCGCTGTGTTGCCGGCGAGGCATGAAAATAGAGCCCTATATGAGTGTGGACCTCTTTTTTTCTGCTTTAAATCTCATTTGTGGTCTTTGAAACTGCAGACACTCAGACAGTTAAAGACCACTTACAACTAACAGTTTTATAGTTTTGAATATTGAGGACAGCTCTCTCTTTTTTCCTGTTTGTTGATTCTAAACTCATGAATACACACGTCTTTATCTCCCTGGACAAAAACTGACTTTGTTCATATTTTCAGATCAAAACAAACAAAAACACAGTGAGTGATTTTTGTCAGTTTTTAGAGTTTAGAGATTCAGCTCAATGACTGCAGATTCAGAAACATGACTCTGCAAAAACATCAACTTTAGACAGTGTGTCTCAAACTTGTTATGAGTCTATAAGACAAAAATTAAGTTATTTTGTTTATTAATTTATTCTGTTTCATTAAATCCATTTGATTTTCAAATTTCATTCATGAGTGATTTAAGTATGAGGATGAGGTTTCTGTATTGTTTCGATATTTGATATTTAAACTCCATTTAAAGACAGTTTCTGTCATTTAAAGTTGATGTAGAAATGATTGTTGGTCTGAGGGCTCCTCCTCTGGTGGCTTCATGTCACAGGTGTTCAGGCTCTGAGGGGTTTTTGTTTAGCTCTACAGATGGTTTGTGTTGTTGTGGGTGTCTGGCACAGTAATAAACAGCAGAGTCTTCAGTCTTCAGACTGTTCATCTGCAGATACAGCTGCTGTCTGCTGTTGTCTCTGGAGATGGTGAACCGGCCTCTAACTGACTCAGAGTAGTAGGTGCTACTGGCAGTGTATGTATAAGCGATCCACTGCAGTCCTTTTCCAGGAGCCTGTCTGACCCAGTTCATGCCATAGTCACTGAATGTGAATCCAGAGGCTGTACAGGTCAGTCTGTGGGATTCTCCAGGACGTTTAACCACCGGCTCAGATTCAGTCAGAGTCTGACCACCAACACCTGAAAAGACAGAAGAAAAAAACCAACAGATTGAAGTGAGTTTGTTGTCATGAGGTGAAAAAGTCCAACTCAGATTAGTGATGATCTCCACCTGTCCAGCAGACAGTCAGAAGCAGCAGTCCTGTCCTATAGTCCATCATGTCAAACTGAGTGTCCACTGTCCTCTGTCCTCCTCTCTGCACTCACTGAAGTAGAGGAGGAAGACGGCTGACTTTGCATTGACTCCTCCTCTCAGAGAGATTGATCCTGTTTTTTTCTACTTCTAACCTGAGGGATTAGGGTGTTAAATTTAACTTAACTTTGAGAATGATTGAAGTTAACAGGAACCTCCCCTCTGTCACCTGTTGGTTGTTAAAGAACCAAATGTTAAATTTGAATCAGAGACACTTAATGAATGTTTTAAATCTGATGAATCAGAGAGTGAGGTCCTCATATTAGCTGTAACTGTACAACAGTAACTCCTGATCAGCTCATCACTGTTTTTTAACTGTGTTTCATTCATTTTCGGACAACTTACACAAGATACACTTCCAATATGATCCCACTCACTTAATCAAATTCAAATTAACTTTATTCATTCGTTAGGAACTTCATTTGCATAGAAAGCGCCTGTGCAGAAACAAATAAAACATAGCACATTTTCATTCACAGATCATAATCTAGAGTCCATAATAAATACAATAAAAACGTTAAACACATTGAAAACAAAAGGTCAATCATACTAGTCCTCCTCTACAATATTGTGTAGCAATCAGCTGTTTAACAGGCGGATAGAGGTGGGAAGGAAGCTGGAGGTGGCCCTCTTTGTCCTCAGTGGGAGCAACCTGTACCTGCGCCCTGAAGGCAGCAGAGTATAGTGAGGGTGCAGGGTGTGAGAGGGGTCAGTGGAGATCTGGTTCCCTTTCCTCAGGACTCTGGTGTTGTAGATGGTGGTGAGTGACTGCTGTTCCTGACCAATGATTTTGCTGCTGATTTTGATAATTTCATTAAGAGTGTTGCGGTGAGTAAGGGTGAGTGAGCCAAATCAGGCAGTGATGTTGAATGTGAGGATGGATTCAATGAAACATTTACAGAAAACAGCAAGAATGGACAGGTGAACCTGAAGTTTTCGGAGCTTCCGAAGAAAAACGAGGCGCTGTTGGCATTTTGAAAAAATGTGTTCAGTATTGAGTTGAAATGTAAGTTTATGGTCGATTATGGAGCCGAGATATTTATATGAGGGGACCTTTTCGATTGTTTCATTGTTGATTGTGAGTGAGGTTATGGTAGAGTGGCCATGATGGAAGGAAATGACCATTTCTTTCGTCTTGGATGCATTAAGGTCTAGACAGTTGTCCCTACACCACAGTGAAAACGAGTCCAGTTCTGTTTGCAGTAGTCCAACTGTGTTTGTGGTGTCCATGATTACTGTGTCATCTGAGTACTTGATGTAGGTTATTCCTGGGGAAATAAATTAAAATAACTATTCTAAGAGAACCTGAAAACTCTGACCCATTGTTAGTTATTGTGAAAACACAGATTCACAAAGTCAGACAGAGTTTCAGAAAAAAATGAAATTATCTTCTATGGAAAATTAAAACTTCCAACTAAATTTTCAGTAATTTAATGTCAGTGTCCAAAGACTTCACTGAAGATCTGTCAGTGAAAAAAAAATGTGGATCAATGAAGATAAAACCTTATTGGCCAGTTTGACCAGTTTTTCTATTTACATTTTTAAGATTATATTGATAAATATTAAATTAATGTGTGTCTTTTGAATTCCTGGTCAGTCAGGTTTAATAAAACATGCTGTGTAAAGAATTGTACTTTAGATATGAGTCACAGTTCTGACAGTTTACAGAGTCATTATGATGATTGTTGGTCTGAGGGCTCCTCCTCTGGTGGCTTCATGTCACAGGTGTTCAGGCTCTGAGGGGTTTTTGTTCAGCTCTACAGATGGTTTGTGTTGTTGTGGGTCTCTGGCACAGTAATAAACAGCAGAGTCTTCAGGCTGCATGTTCTGTCCGTTGAAAGTGTATGTGTTTCTGGAGGAGTCCAAGTCAATACTGAACTTGTGTTTTAAAGAATCTTTGTAACTTGTGGATGTAACTTGTCTCATCCCGATCCACTCCAGTCCTTTCCCTTCAGGCTGTCTGATCCAGGCTGTCCAGTAGCTGCCACAAGAATAAGAGACCTGACAGGTGATGGTCAGACGTTGACCTGGCTGCACAGTCACAGAGGCTGGCTGAGTCAGCTGTTCACACTTCACACCTGTTGAAAAAGAGAAAATGTTTGGTACCAAATGATGGAGTTGAGCTGTAAAAGAAGAACTGTGGACTTCGACAGATCCAGACTGACTCACATCCAGCTGCCAGCAGCAGCAGCAGCAGCAGAGCTCCAGAAAACATGGTTTATGTTGAAGGTGAGCAGCTGTGAACTCCACTGACAGCCTGATGGACAGTTTTTATAGCTGAGGAACAAGGAAGCTCTCTGAGTTTGCATAGAATCAAACAGATGAAGCAGCAGCAGCAGAGTTGGTCTGACTGCAGACAACACAAGAGTCTGCTCAAAGGTCTTTATCCTCAGAGAGGAACAAGCCTTTTCTACTTTTGCTCTACAGATGATTTACTTATTTATTTTTACATTAGAACGTTTGATTGATCATTTTGAAAGAGTCTCTTTAAAGGTATTAACTTCTATTTTTGTTCTGTATTTGTTTTCTTGTTACATGTTCTTGATCCTGATCAGTTCAGGTACCAGACTCAGTCAGTCCTACACTGACCTCTAGAGCTCACAAACACTAACTGTAATATTACAGTTTCAGCTTCCAAAAGATTCAGTGAAGTTCATGAAGTCTGTTCAACAGTCTGAACTCTGTGTGGAAATGTTGGAGCTTTTCACTTCATGATGAGTGACGGCCTCATTTTCAGGTTGATCTATCACCTGTTGATGTTGTTTTTGAGTCAAACTTGTGCTTGAATATGAGTCTGTGTTTTTATAGAACAATAGTGACAGTGGCTCCAGGACAACAGTCTGTGATTGTTCTGAAAAAAAATGAAAAAATTGATCTTAATGATCATGTGAAACTTCATTAGCGGTGCACTTATTCAGCAGCGGCTGAATGAATGGAGGGGAAACACTGCAGTCCTTACAACATTGGTTCCAGTGTGTAGGTGACTCCTTCAGGACCTCGAACGGCTCATCCAGTGGGCGAGAATGAGCTTCAGGCTTGCTAAGTCCAGGTCCTTGGTCCTGAGGAAAGGTTAAGTGACCGATCCGTTCCGTTTTTTTCTGGGAGGGACCAAAGTCCCATCAGTGACTGAAAAACCTGTCAAGACCTTTGGCAAGACTTTCAACAGCTCCCTGAAGGACTCAGCAGCCATAAAACGAACCAGGTGTGACCTTGCAACCTGGCTCAGAACCATCAACAAGTCTGGTCTCCCAGGAAATTCAAGGCCTGTATCTACCAGTACAGCGTCCTGCCAGGAATACTCTGGACCTAGTTGGTCTACAAGGCACCAATAACAACGGTAGAAGCACGAAAGAATTCCATCAGCCAGTTTCTCAGGCAATGTTAAATTCATATCAGCAGAGATTCTCATGAAGACCGGGAGAAAGTGGCAGGCCCAGAGGCCATCACCAGAGCTGAGGGGTGGCTGAGGAACCAGATGTTCCTGAGCTCCTGGGCTCCATGGCAATGGGGTGAGCAGGTTTTGGTTGCTCTCCAAAGCCACATCACGACCTGGCTTGGGGAAAGGAGAAGCGTCAACTGGATCAGGACAAGATTTGAGTGGAGGTTGAGGAAGAACGATGCATCAAGATGGTCGGCATGTCTAAGCAAGGGGCATGGACTCGGTGGGAGCATGAAGAACCCAAGAGCTTTGGAAATCTGAGTCATCACGCATCAAGTTTCTCATCCAATCAGTCTATGACATCCTCCCAAGCCTGGCCAACCTGCACACCTGGGACCTAGTCGATACTCCCTAGTGCAAGCTGTGCCACCTTGGAGCATGTCTTAAGCTGCTGTCCAAAAGCGCTAGAAGAGGGGCGGTACAGCTGGTGCCACAATCAAGTCTCAAGATTTTTGGCAGACTCAATCTGCACAGCAGTTTGGCACAGCAAGGCCCAGGCTGACCCCTAAGAGGCTTAGCTGGTTATTCATGACTCAGAACTCTCAAACTCTTTCGAGGTGAATGGATTGCAGTCTAGGAGATCCATCAAGAACACTTTTGAAGTCGTCGAGAGGACCTAGAGGTGGCTGTGGATCCTTTGGGGTGATCCATGGAATATTGTGCCACTTGGACACAAGCTAGGGACTGATCACCCTGGCTGGATCGCCTGATTGAGGTTGTATGAAGATTGAAGACCCAAAACAACCTGTGACCCTGGGTTCTTCACTGATGACGTGTCCAAGTATCACTGGAAGGTGTATTCAACTCCATAACAAAACAATCTCAAATGGGAGTCTTGGGTTGACGCGTAACTGATAATTGATAGTCTGTCTCTGTTCTTCTTAAAGTAGTCAATGATTAACATGATTCCTGTTGGCAGGATAACTCTTTGCGATCTGTGTTTTGCATACTGTCACTGTTTTGTGTTTCTGTGTGTGTTTTTCTTTTCTTGTGGAACTTCTTGTGCTGCTATCCTGTCCAGGACTCCCTTGTAAAAGAGATTCTTAATCTCAATGGGTTTATTTCCTGGTTAAATAAAGGTTACTAACTAACTAACAGAGGGTTATAAAAGACTGTGATTTGGAGTAAAGAAATCTACGTTGTCTGATGTCCTCAGACCAGATGTATGTGTCACAGTCCTGTGGGGTCATTAAGGTACAGAAAGTATTCATCTGCACTACAATCTACATCACTGTATCAAAAAAAAGTCTTTGTACATACTGTGTAAACAAAGCTGCTGAAAACAAAAAAAAAAAGAAATTTAATCAATTAAAAATAATTCAGGTGTATGAGTTTTTAATCCATGATCAGTGCTCTCCCTTTTCATTCCCTAAACTGATGAATGATGTCAGTGTTAAAAAGAGGAAGTAGTTTTTGTACGTCTCTCCTGTTCTCATCTCTCACTGTGGGTCTCTGGCACAGTAATACACTGCTGTGTCCTCAGTCTTCAGACTGTTCATCTGTAGATACAGCTGCTGTCTGCTGTTGTCTCTGGAGATGGTGAACCGGCCTCTAACTGACTCAGAGTAGTAGATGCTACTACTACTAGAAGGGTGTATAAAAGCGATCCACTCCAGGCCTTTTCCAGGAGCCTGTCTGATCCAGTTCATCCAGTGGCTGCTGAATGTGAATCCAGAGGCTGTACAGGTCAGTCTGTGGGATTCTCCAGGACGTTTAATCACCGGCTCAGATTCAGTCAGAGTCTGACCACCAACACCTGAAAAGACAGAAAAGAAAAAAACCAACAGATTGAAGTGAGTTTGTTGTCATGAGGTGAAAAAGTCCAACTCAGATTAGTGATGATCTCCACCTGTCCAGCAGACAGTCAGAAGCAGCAGTCCTGTCCTATAGTCCATCATGTCAAACTGAGTGTCCACTGTCCTCTGTCCTCCTCTCTGCACTCACTGAAGTAGAGGAGGAAGACGGCTGACTTTGCATTATTGACTCCTCCTCTCAGAGACTAAATGAGTGTAGACCAGGGCTGCTTGATATTGGAAAAATACTAACGTTGCAATTTTTTACAACTCTGTTATATAGCTTATATTACAATATTAAAAAAAGAGGAATTTTCACCAGATGACCTGAATCGCACTTTCTGCTGCACTGCTGAAATCTTGAGGACAGTTAATCTGCTCTGATCTTCCCTCTTTCAGTGAATGTTAGTAGAATGGCTTCTGTCTGTCTCAGAGATATTTTTAGCTTTTATTGTGCTGGGACTTGTTATCTCTCATTGTGGAAACAGATGCAAGGCACTGCCGACACAGAACAGGTGTTAGGTGACGTCATCCTTATAACCGAAATAATTCCAGATAAGTGACGTTGCTTTTCTTTTTACCAACAAGTCTTCATCTTCGGCGGTTTTCTCTTTTCGTTTCTCATTTTACAATCGTTGGTGTTACCGGTGTTGTGCTGAGAAACACGTGTCTGCCGAGAATTGTATCCACCTCACAGAATTGCGCACCGCTTATAGTAGAGTGGTCCATGGAAATGTCCAATTTAAAACCCATACAGTTCTTATTTGTGGGGCTAAACAGTGATGAGTAATTTTTCCAAAGTATTTCTCGGCGGGCATGTGTCTATCGGAACAACACCGGCAGCGCCAGTGACTCCATGTGAAGGGGCGTGGTTTCCTCCGCTCTGATCTTGATTGACGGCTGGCAGGGTAGTCTGCTTGGCAACTGAATAAAGAACGAATGTGATTGGTGGATTGCTGCACAGCACATGCAGAGTCTACATGCAGTGAATGTCAGTCAGCTACCCTTGAAATTAGCTAAGTACATTCGCCTCCTACACCGCAGGCTCAGCAATGTGACTATTGCACACGTACATCACAATGACGATGCTCAAACGATGTATGGTGTAGTCCTACCACTGGGGCCTCTCCGACCACCACCAAACATCACTGACAATCATAAACCAGTGGAGGACACACATTGGGACCAAGGGGGTTTAAGTGTCTTGCCCAAGGACACAATGGACAGACAAGGGATACAGCAAGGATAGAACCATCAACCTTCCAGTTGTTGGATGACCACTTTACCTCCTGAGCTACTACTGCCCACGATAGAATTATCTGCAGACATGAATTACTTTTTGTTGTTCATTATAGGAGAATGTCAACTGAATCAAACCAGCCTGTAGTTCTGTGATAAGTGGTTTCATTGGATAATCTGTTAAAACAACGTTTTTGAGTCTTTTTTATACACAGAAGAATAAAAATAAACTACAAGCATCTTTGATTTTAGTAAAGATGAGTCCTGTAGGTTTTTGTACAGCTGCTCAGCAGACTCCAGTCACTGTGGCTGTCGAACACAGTAATAAACAGCAGAGTCTTCAGTCTTCAGACTGTTCATCTGCAGATACAGCTGCTGTCTGCTGTTGTCTCTGGAGATGGTGAACCGGCCTCTAACTGACTCAGAGTAGAAGGTGTGACTACCAGTGCTGATATGAGCGATCCACTCCAGTCCTTTTCCAGGAGCCTGTCTGACCCAGTTCATATGGTAGCTGCTGAATGTGAAACCATAGGCATAACAGGTCAGTCTGTGGGATTCTCCAGGACGTTTAACCACCGGCTCAGATTCAGTCAGAGTCTGACCACCAACACCTGAAAAGACAGAAGAAAAAAACCAACAGATTGAAGTGAGTTTGTTGTCATGAGGTGAAAAAGTCCAACTCAGATTAGTGATGATCTCCACCTGTCCAGCAGACAGTCAGAAGCAGCAGTCCTGTCCTATAGTCCATCATGTCAAACTGAGTGTCCACTGTCCTCTGTCCTCCTCTCTGCACTCACTGAAGTAGAGGAGGAAGACGGCTGACTTTGCATTGACTCCTCCTCTCAGAGAGATTGATCTCATTTCTGTCCTCTACTTTAACTCTTCTCATATTCAGCATGATCACATGTTTGATATATTAATTAGAAATAAACATTTGTGTCTCATGAATCAGAGAGTGAGGTCCTCATATTTACTGTAGCTGTAAAGCAGTAACTCTTGATCAGCCCATCTCTCTTAGTTTTTTAGTTTTCTTCAGAGGATGTGTTTAATCTTCTGACAGCTGAAGGACATTTTTTTTATATTATCCTACAGAGAAAGATCGGTTCTTTAGGAAGCCTGAATCCTTTGAGTCATGGCCAACAACTGCCCCTTAAACACTGAAGGACTTTGAGATGATCAGAATAATGGAGTCACAGTTTCACCTCAGTCCTACAGAGTTTAGATGAAATATTAAAACTCCTCAAATAAAAAAAACATCATTGTGTAAATTTATATAAATATATGAAATAACTGGCTAATGATCGGTCAGTAAAATTAGAGTTAGTTATTTGGTGAAATTTATTTATGTATTTATTTGTTAATATATTGATATATACTTAAGTGTGATATGATCAAGTTAAGTAAAATGCATTATTTTAATGATTGTACTTTAGATATGAGTCACAGTTCTGACAGTTTACAGAGTCATTATGATGATTGTTGGTCTGAGGGCTCCTCCTCTGGTGGCTTCATGTCACAGGTGTTCAGGCTCTGAGGGGTTTTTGTTCAGCTCTACAGATGGTTTGTGTTGTTGTGGGTCTCTGGCACAGTAATAAACAGCAGAGTCTTCAGTCTTCAGACTGTTCATCTGCAGATACAGCTGCTGTCTGCTGTTGTCTCTGGAGATGGTGAACCGGCCTCTAACTGACTCAGAGTAGAAGATGCCACTACTGTCATAGCTGATCAGAGAGATCCACTGCAGTCCTTTTCCAGGAGCCTGTCTGACCCAGTTCATTCCATAACTGCTGAATGTGAATCCAGAGGCTGTACAGGTCAGTCTGTGGGATTCTCCAGGACGTTTAACCACCGGCTCAGATTCAGTCAGAGTCTGACCACCAACACCTGAAAAGACAGAAGAAAAAACCAACAGATTGAAGTGAGTTTGTTGTCATGAGGTGAAAAAGTCCAACTCAGATTAGTGATGATCTCCACCTGTCCAGCAGACAGTCAGAAGCAGCAGTCCTGTCCTATAGTCCATCATGTCAAACTGAGTGTCCACTGTCCTCTGTCCTCCTCTCTGCACTCACTGAAGTAGAGGAGGAAGACGACTGACTTTGCATTGACTCCTCCTCTCAGAGAAAATTAATGTCACCTTCATGTTTTGTGGTTTTCATATATTTTCCTTAATTTTCTCATAATTCTTCTTCCTTATTAACTCCAATTTGGTCTCACAGTGAAACACAACTTCAGGTACAAACTGATATTTTACAGTGTCCCTATTTTCTTCAACATAAAGGAAATCTTTAGTCTTCATCCCTCTATACAAAACACTTTAGTTCTCACTATTTTGATAGTGTTGATATTGTAGTAACTATGGATCATTGATTATCACCTTTGTTTGTAATAACAGTGAGAGACAACATCAGTTAGTCTGAAGGAACCAGAAGCTGTTGTACGAACTCAGAGTCCGTCATTCTCTCTGTGTCACATGGTAAAGGTCCAACACAGTAATGTTCCTACTGTCACCAGTCACAGTCTGCTGCACCATAGTTCATTTGAAGGAGCAAGTCCCAGATCAGGCTCCCAGGAGCTCTGATCAGATGGAGTGGAGGGTGGGTTCAAGGTCTCAGTTCTGTTGTCAATGACAGATATGATCCTCTTTTGGTTCAGAGTTTGAGTAACAAACCATCAGGGAAATGTGAGAACTGCTTCTGAATAAAGGGCCTGATCTGACAATATCTAAGAGGGTGCTTGTTGGTCAGATTATATTGAACTGGACAGGATGAAATAGGTGAAAGAGTTCAGACGAGGATTTTTAAAGTTGGTGGAGGTCATGAAGAAAAATGAAGACTGAATCATTTAGAGTTTTTGAACAGTAAAGTTGAGTTTTCACTGCTGTTGAATGGATGCTCAGATTCACAGTCAGGTTTTCTTCTCAATGATGAAGTCATTGCTGCGGCGATGAGCGTCTAGACGTTCTCCAGAGCTCCTCACACAGCCATCATCAGTGTAGTTCAGTTTTTGTCCAGCTCTGTCGTCCCCTGTGTCACTGTGGCTCTCGAGCACAATAATAAACTGCAGAGTCTTCCTGTTTGAGGCTCTTCACCTCCAAGTACACAACATTAACCGATGTGTCCTTGGTGATGGAAAACTGGCCCTGTAGACTTTGGGCAAATATTGTGCCGGTCCCGCTATCGATGCGACCGATCCACTCCAGTCCTCTTCCTGGTTTTTGACGAATCCAGTGCAGCCAAGCCAGAGCAAGTCCTTCCACTTTACAGGACAGAGTGACCGGTTGTCCTGGTCTGCTGACTACTGGTTCTGAGGAGGTGAGGGACTGGCCCTGAGCGGCTGAAAGGGACCCAGAGTTTTAGAGGACAAGGAGTCAGCAGACATGCAGAGATGACTTTCTGCTCCTCTGCTGCTCAATAAAGACACTCACCTGAAATCAGAGCCAAGAGGAGGAAACTTTGGACCCCTGTCATGGTGGAGACTTGGCTCAGCCTATAAGAGTGACGGTCATTATGAAGGATATATAGAGCAGGCAGAGCGGCTGTGTCAGGTGCATCAGCATGTATATTTGCATTTTACTCACCAGAGATTTGGGTGATGATGATGATGTGAAAATGAAACTCTGAGACAGAGACTGTGGACTTCAGACAGACTGAGACACCAACAGTCAAAGATGTCCTTCAGTCTTTCTCCTTATTTGAGTTTTTTTAACCAGTTTTTCACCTTTCCTCCTGTGAGAACGAGTCAGAACAACATGAGATGGTGAACTGATGAACACATGACTCTGCAGTCAGTAACTAATGATACAGTGAGTGTTAGAGTTCAATCAGTCAATGGTTTGAGTCTTTGAGTGAAGGTCAGTGAGATAAGCCGGTCTGAGCGTTTCTGAACAGTAAGAGAGGAAAACTTGACACTGACTGCCACCTGCTGTTTCAGAACTGAAATAACATTCACTGGGAATGATTTCTGGAGATGGGTCGCTCTGTTGTTTTTATCCAGGGGGGGATTATTGTGGTTAGACACATTTGTAGTTATTTAATTAATATTTACTGTTGTCCATGAAAAAGAAAGTTTCACAGTTTCTCAGTTTCATAATTTATTTAATCAGAACTGAAATTATTCCAGAGAACTATCAACAACAAAAGAGTCCTGTAGGTTTTTGTACAGCTGCTCAGCAGACTCCAGTCACTGTGGGTCTCTGGCACAGTAATAAACAGCAGAGTCTTCAGTCTTCAGACTGTTCATCTGCAGATACAGCTGCTGTCTGCTGTTGTCTCTGGAGATGGTGAACCGGCCTCTAACTGACTCAGAGTAGTAGGTGCTACTACTATAAGCGGAAGCGATCCACTCCAGTCCTTTTCCAGGAGCCTGTCTGACCCAGGCCATCCAGTAGCCGCTGAATGAGAATCCAGAGGCTGTACAGGTCAGTCTGTGGGATTCTCCAGGACGTTTAACCACCGGCTCAGATTCAGTCAGAGTCTGACCACCAACACCTGAAAAGACAGAAGAAAAAAACCAACAGATTGAAGTGAGTTTGTTGTCATGAGGTGAAAAAGTCCAACTCAGATTAGTGATGATCTCCACCTGTCCAGCAGACAGTCAGAAGCAGCAGTCCTGTCCTATAGTCCATCATGTCAAACTGAGTGTCCACTGTCCTCTGTCCTCCTCTCTGCACTCACTGAAGTAGAGGAGGAAGACGGCTGACTTTGCATTGACTCCTCCTCTCAGAGAGAAAATTAATGTCACCTTCATGTTTTGTGGTTTTGACATATTTTGGTTAATTTTCTCATAATTATGTTTCCATTATTAACTCCAGTTTGGTCTTTCAGTGAAACACAACCTCAGGTACAAACTGATATTTTACAGCGTTCCTATTTTCTTCAACATACAGTAGATATAAAAAGTCTACACACCCCGGTTTAACTTCCAGGTCATAGTGATGTTAGAAAATGACAGCAAGATAAATATTTTCACAACTTTTTCCCCCTTTAATGTGACCTTTGACTTGTACAATGCAATTAAAAAACAAACTGAAACTTTTAAGGGGAAAAATGAAAAATAGAAAAGTTATAATTACCTGATTGCATTAATATGCACACCCTTAAACTAATACTTTGTTGCAGCCCCTTTGGCTTTTATTACAGCACTCAGTCTCTTTGGGTTGGAGTCTCTCAGCGTGGAACATCTTGATGTGGAAATATTTTCCCACTTTTCTTTTTAAAACCGCTCCAAATCTGACAGATTGCGAGGGCATCTCCTATGCACAGCCCTCTTCAGATCAGACCACAAATGTTTGATGGGATTCAGGTCTGGACTCTGGCTGGGCCCTTCCAAAGTCTCAATCTTATTCCGGTGAAGCCGTTCTTTTGTTGATTTAGATGTCTGCTTTGGGTTGTCGTGCTGAAAGATGAAGTTCCTCTTCATCTTCAGCTTTCTAGCAGAAGGTCGAAGGTTTCGTTCCAACACTGACTGGTATTTGGAACTGTTCATAATTCCCTCCACCCTGACTAAGGCACCAGATCCAGCTGAAGAAAAACATCCCCAAAGCATGATGCTGCCACGACCATGCTTCACTGTAGGTATGGTCTTCTTTTGGTCATCAGCAGTGTTGATTTTGAGCCAAATATACTTTTTGCAATGATGCCCAAAAAGTTCAACTTTGGTTTCATCAGACCATGACACATTTTCCCACGTGTTTGGGAGATTTCAGATGTTTTGATGTTTTTCTTTGAAAGATAAGACTTCCATCTTGCCCCTCTACCCCATAGCCCAGACATATGAAGACAGCAGGAGATTGTTGTCTCATGTTCTACACAGCCAGTACTTGAAGCTAGAAATTCCTGCAGCTCCTTCAGTGTTGCTGTCGGCCTCTTGGTATCCTCCCTGACCAGTTTTCTTCTTGTCTTTTCATCAATTTTTGACGGACGTCCTGTTCTTGGTAATGTCACCGTTGTTCCATATTTTCTCCACTTGATGATGACGGTCTTCACTGTGTTCCATGGTATATTTGATTCCTTGTAAATTATTTTGTAGCCCTCACCTGACTGAGATCTTTGAATAATGAGATCCCTCTGGTTCTTTGGAAGCTCTCTGCGGACCATGGCTTGTGCTGGAAGATGTGTCTAAAAAATGTCTGGAAAAGCTACTAGAACAGCTGAACTTTAACGTTAATCAGAGTCACTGTAATTGGTGACAGGTGTGTGCTGACTCCAGTTTAACCTGAGTTTGAATGTTATTGGTTAAATCTGAACACAGCTACATCCCCAGTTATTAAAGGGTGTACACACTAATGCAACCACATGATCTCAGTTGTTTATTTTTACTTCACCTCCCTGAAAGATTTCTGTTTGTTTTTTAATTGTGTTGTACAGGTTATAGGTCACATTAAACGTGGAAAGTTGTGAAATTATTTATCTTGATTTAAATCTGGCAGTTAAACAGGAGTGTGTAGACTTTTTATATCCACTGTATTTATTCATTCATTCATAGATAAATACTTGACAGCTATGTGTTTTTAAATGTCAGTTTGATCAAGTTCAGTAAAATACATTATTTAAATGATTGTACTTTAGATATGAGTCACAGTTCTGACAGTTTACAGAGTCATTATGATGATTGTTGGTCTGAGGGCTCCTCCTCTGGTGGCTTCATGTCACAGGTGTTCAGGCTCTGAGGGGTTTTTGTTCAGCTCTACAGATGGTTTGTGTTGTTGTGGGTCTCTGGCACAGTAATAAACAGCAGAGTCTTCAGTCTTCAGACTGTTCATCTGCAGATACAGCTGCTGTCTGCTGTCGTCTCTGGAGATGGTGAACCGGCCTCTAACTGACTCAGAGTAGTAGATGCTACTACTACCAGTATTAATCCAGGCCATCCACTCCAGTCCTTTTCCAGGAGCCTGTCTTATCCAGGCCATATATGAGCCACTGAATGTGAATCCAGAGGCTGTACAGGTCAGTCTGTGGGATTCTCCAGGACGTTAAACCACCGGCTCAGATTCAGTCAGAGTCTGACCACCAACACCTGAAAAGACAGAAGAAAAAAACCAACAGATTGAAGTGAGTTTGTTGTCATGAGGTGAAAAAGTCCAACTCAGATTAGTGATGATCTCCACCTGTCCAGCAGACAGTCAGAAGCAGCAGTCCTGTCCTATAGTCCATCATGTCAAACTGAGTGTCCACTGTCCTCTGTCCTCCTCTCTGCACTCACTGAAGTAGAGGAGGAAGACGGCTGACTTTGCATTGACTCCTCCTCTCAGAGAGAAAATTAATGTCACCTTCATGTTTTTTGGTTTTCACATATTTTGCTTAATTTTCTCATAATTTATCTTCATTATTAACTCCAGTTTGGTCTCACAGTGAAACACAACTTCAGGTACAAACTGATATTTTACAGTGTCCCTATTTTCTTCCACATAAAGGAAATCTTTAGTCTTCATCCCTCTGTGGCAGGCAGCACCTTGCTGCTATTGAATGCAGCTCTCCCTCCTCCTCTAACCCCTCCCTTCCCCTAATCAGGTCAGCTGAACAAAAGGCAGCAGCTCACCTGCAGTAGGCCTTCTGATCTGCTCAGAGTGCTGGTGAGTAGGGTGGCTGGTAACTTTTAATCTTTAGAGTTTTATGATTGCTTTTAACAGCATGTCCTTTTTGTTTGTAGGTGGTAGACCTGCTGCTGTTTTGTTGCCCCCATTAATTGTAGTTATTTTTGCCTGTTTACTTTGATTGTTTCTGCCCTTTTGATTGGTTTCCCCCCTTACTTGGTTTGTTTCTACTTCTAAGTTTGGTTGTTTTACACAGTTACTCCCCCATTAGTTTGCATTCTGTTCTTAGTTACCCTTAGTTGCTTTTCTCCTTAGTTCCCTCTAGTTTTACCAACTGGGTTCGCTGGTTTGTTTGTTTGTTTCTTTGGTTAATCCTTTTATTTTATTTCAGAGGTTGAGCCCACTAGTTTGGGAGGCTAGGCACCCCGGGTGAGGGCCCTCCACCTTTGCATGAGTTTGGCACCGGGTCACAAGACTACACCGATTTTGTTTCTTTTGTTGAAGGTTTGCAGTGTGTGTGCTGTGCTTCACTTGGTGAGTATAAGGGAGCACCCCCCTGCACTTTCCCTCTGTAGTCTGCCTCCCTTCTGGTGGCCTCAGCTTATCTTAAGTTAACTTAGTTTGGGTTTCTTTGATTTAGTTTAAGTTGGGGTTATTGTACTTTTTAACTTTTGTAGAAGGCCTTGTTTTAAATTTTATTATAGAAATAAAATTAACTTTCTTGCCCCTTATCTGTGTTTTGTTATGTTGTTTTAACTTTATCCCTTTCTTTCCCTCCTAGGTTAAAATTCTCAGTTATATTTACGTTTAACTTCATTTTTTTTTCATCTAATAAACATTTTGAAATATTTTGAACTCTGTCTCTGCCTCTTCAGAACTTACCTGTGTTGCCTTTATTTTTATTTTAGCTTCCTGTTTTAGTTTGAAAGTTCAGTTTCCTGGGGTGCAAGTCCCCAGGTGGCGTTGCTGGTTGGAGACAATATTCTCTATTTTTGAATAAAATAGCACCCCCTTGCCACACCTCTATACAAACACTTAAGTTCTCACTAGTTTGATAGTGTTGATCTTGTCGTAACTATGGATTATTGATTATCACCTTTGTTTGTAATAACAGTGAGAGACAACATCAGTTAGTCTGAAGGAACCAGAAGCTGTTGTGCGAACTCAGAGTCCGTCATTCTCTCAGTGTCACATGGTAAAGGTACAACACAGTAATGTTTCTACTGTCACCAGTCACAGTCTGCTGCACTATAGTTCATTTGAAGGAGCAAGTCCCAGATCAGGCTCCCAGGAGCTCTGATCAGATGGAGTGGAGGGTGGGTTCAAGGCCTCAGTTCTGTTGTCCATGACAGATATGATCCTCTTTTGGTTCAGAGTTTGAGTAACAAACCATCAAGGAAATGTGAGAACTGCTTCTGAATAAAGTGCCTGATCTGACAATATCTAAGAGGGTGCTTGTTGGTCAGATTATATTGAACTGGACAGGATGAAATAGGTGAAAGAGTTCAGACGAGGATTTTTAAAGTTGGTGGAGCTCATGTAGAAAAGTGAAGACTGAATCATTTAGAGTTTTTGAACAGTAAAGTTGAGTTTTCACTGCTGTTGAATGGATGCACAGATTCACAGTCAGGTTTTCTTCTCAATGATGACGTCATTGCTGCAGCGATGAGCGTCTAGACGGCCTAAAGAAATCAGTCCAGTTATTTTCATGAATAACTCCCATCATTCAGTGGGAAGTGTCTTTTCAAAGCCCGGACGTTCTCCAGAGCTCCTCACACAGCCATCATCAGTGAAGTTCAGTTTTTGTCCAGCTCTGTCGTCCCCTGTGTCACTGTGGCTCTCGAGCACAATAATAAACTGCAGAGTCTTCCTGTTTGAGGCTCTTCACCTCCAAGTACACAACATTAACCGATGTGTCCTTGGTGATGGAAAACTGGCCCTCTAGACTTTGGGCAAATATTGTGCCGGTCCCATCATTGATGCGACCGATCCACTCCAGTCCTCTTCCTGGTTTTTGACGAATCCAGTGCAGCCAAGCCAGAGCAAGTCCTTCCACCTTACAGGACAGAGTGACCGGTTGTCCTGGTCTGCTGACTACTGGTTCTGAGGAGGTGAGGGACTGGCCCTGAGCGGCTGAAAGGGACCCAGAGTTTTAGAGGACAAGGAGTCAGCAGACATGCAGAGATCACTTTCTGCTCCTCTGCTGCTCAATAAAGACACTCACCTGAAATCAGAGCCAAGAGGAGGAACCTTTGGACCCCTGTCATGGTGGAGACTTGGCTCAGCCTATGAGAGTGACGGTCATTATGAAGGATATATAGAGCAGGCAGAGCGGCTGTGTCAGGTGCATCAGCATGTATATTTGCATTTTACTCACCAGAGATTTGGGTGATGATGATGATGTGAAAATGAAACTCTGAGACAGAGACTGTGGACTTCAGACAGACTGAGACACCAACAGTCAAAGATGTCCTTCAGTCTTTCTCCTTATTTGAGTTTTTTTAACCAGTTTTTCACCTTTCCTCCTGTGAGAACAAGTCAGAACAACATGAGATGGTGAACTGATGAACACATGACTCTGCAGTCAGTAACTAATGATACAGTGAGTGTTAGAGTTCAGTCAGTCAATGGTTTGAGTCTTTGAGTGAAGGTCAGTGAGATAAGCCGGTCTGAGTGTTTCTGAACAGTAAGAGAGGAAAACTTGACACTGACTGCCACCTGCTGTTTCAGAACTGAAATAACATTCACTGGGAACGATTTCTGTAGATGGGTCGCTCTGTTGTTTTTATCCAGGGGGGGATTATTGTGGTTAGACACATTTGTAGTTATTTAATTAATATTTACTGTTGTCCATGAAAAAGAAAATTTCACAGTTTCTCAATTTCATAATTTATTTAATCAGAACTGAAATTATTCCAGAGAACTATCAACAACAAAAGAGTCCTGTAGGTTTTTGTACAGCTGCTCAGCAGACTCCAGTCACTGTGGGTCTCTGGCACAGTAATAAACAGCAGAGTCTTCAGTCTTCAGACTGTTCATCTGCAGATACAGCTGCTGTCTGCTGTCGTCTCTGGAGATGGTGAACCGGCCTCTAAAGGACTCAGAATAGGCAATATTGCTACTGTCATACATTGCGTTAATCCACTCCAGTCCTTTTCCAGGAGCCTGTCTGACCCAGGCCATATAGTAGCTGCTGAATGTGAATCCAGAGGCTGTACAGGTCAGTCTGTGGGATTCTCCAGGACGTTTAACCACCGACTCAGATTCAGTCAGAGTCTGACCACCAACACCTGAAAAGACAGAAGAGAAAAACCAACAGATTGAAGTGAGTTTGTTGTCATGAGGTGAAAAAGTCCAACTCAGATTAGTGATGATCTCCACCTGTCCAGCAGACAGTCAGAAGCAGCAGTCCTGTCCTATAGTCCATCATGTCAAACTGAGTGTCCACTGTCCTCTGTCCTCCTCTCTGCACTCACTGAAGTAGAGGAGGAAGACGGCTGACTTTGCATTGACTCCTCCTCTCAGAGATTGATCTCATTTCCCTTTACTTCTCACACTGCCTTTAACCTGAATTCCAGTTTTGATCCTTTGATCAGGTCACAGGAACCTCCTCCTTGTCCCTTTTGACTGTAAAAGGTCAAAAGGTTAAGTTTGAATCAGCTGAAGTCGATGAAGAAGAGTCTGGAGGAGTGGAGGAGGCACTCAGCAGCATCCTCTGTCCCCCTTTTGACCCTGTATGCAAACTGATTAGAATCCAGCTGTGGTCTGACAGACGGGAGGATGGTGTTCAGAATCAATAGTTTTGATTGGCTCTGAGGGGAAGGGTTTCTGGGACACGGGTTTGAGAGTGGATTTTTCCATGTGTTTGGCACTGAAGCAGACCTGAAGGACTCCGAGAAGATGGAATGGAGAACTGGAGAGAGCTTGATACTCAGTAGAGCACTGTGGAGTCTGCAGCTGTAAAAATCACCAATAGTGAACACTGGTGCCTCTGGATATTGACTCTCATGCTGCTAGTACAGTTAGTCATGAGCTCAGCTGCAGCCTTGGTGTTGGTGATTGTAAACACAGCTGATCACCACAGTGGGAAACTTTCTTGGAAAGTAAAAGGGATGAAGGAGTAGGGTCAACATCTGCAGGTCTTGGTACAGACCCGGCTGTGGATTTTGATGTTGTGACACCACCTGTTGTTAACATACATGTAGATCCCTCCACCTGGCTACTTCCCCAACTCCCTGATCTGTTCTGCCCTAAAGATAATGAAGTTGTTGAGGTGTAACTTTGATATATTTATTCATTCATTCATAGATAAAAACTACAGTAATGTGTTTTTAAATATCAGTTTGATCAGGTTTAGTAAAAGATGTTATTTTAATGATTGTACTTTAGATATGAGTCACAGTTCTGACAGTTTACAGAGTCATTATGATGATTGTTGGTCTGAGGGCTCCTCCTCTGGTGGCTTCATGTCACAGGTGTTCAGGCTCTGAGGGGTTTTTGTTCAGCTCTACAGATGGTTTGTGTTGTTGTGGGTCTCTGGCACAGTAATAAACAGCAGAGTCTTCAGTCTTCAGACTGTTCATCTGCAGATACAGCTGCTGTCTGCTGTTGTCTCTGGAGATGGTGAACCGGCCTCTAACTGTCTCAGAGTAGAAGGTGCCACTACTATCAGTGTATATATAAGAGATCCACTCCAGTCCTTTTCCAGGAGCCTGTCTGACCCAGGCCATATAGTAGCTGCTGAATGTGAATCCAGAGGCTGTACAGGTCAGTCTGTGGGATTCTCCAGGACGTTTAACCACCGGCTCAGATTCAGTCAGAGTCTGACCACCAACACCTGAAAAGACAGAAGAAAAAAACCAACAGATTGAAGTGAGTTTGTTGTCATGAGGTGAAAAAGTCCAACTCAGATTAGTGATGATCTCCACCTGTCCAGCAGACAGTCAGAAGCAGCAGTCCTGTCCTATAGTCCATCATGTCAAACTGAGTGTCCACTGTCCTCTGTCCTCCTCTCTGCACTCACTGAAGTAGAGGAGGAAGACGGCTGACTTTGCATTGACTCCTCCTCTCACAGAGAAAATTAATGTCACCTTCATGTTTTGTGGTTTCCATATATTTTGCTTAATTTTCTCATAATTTATCTTCATTATTAACTCCAGTTTGGTCTCACAGTGAAACACAACTTCAGGTATGTAGTGATTTGAAATGAGCCTCACACGGTCGCACCAAAATATATGTAGCGATTTGAAATGAGCCTCACAAGGCCGTACCAAAATAGTACTGTAGCGATTGGAATTTATAATAAATGTCTGAAGATTAATAATCTCAAATTATGACATTTATGCACTCGTTGAAAGGGGCACCACCCACCCTTAATGGTGGGAAAATAAAGAAAACAAAAGTTTATTTCAGAAATCAAAAATCAAGTCAGTTTTAATTAATCAGTCTTAATTAATCAGTCTCATATCTTAAGTCGAAATTCTAATTTCAGGGACTCCACTTCTGGAAGAACACTAACAGACAGGAACTTAGAAAAATAATGATCTGTTTATTACAGGATAAATGATGGTACAACACACATGCAATAAATGATGATAAGATAATGAAGATAGATAATAATAGGTGAATAAATAAAGATTCTGAGCCAGGCTAGGAGCACTAAAGTTAATGATAGTGAGTGAATATGCGCTAACATATTAACCTACACTAACTTGGTGTCGAGATAAACTCGGATGTGGATTTGGAGGAATCTAAGATTACCAGAATAAGTGGATATCTGAGTTATGAACGCATGAGACAGCATCAGCCCTCTTTAGAGCTCTGGAGGTTTGCATACTTAAGTGAGACTGGTCCTTGGAGAAGATGGAGCAGGTTCCGAAGGTCCGGGGCTACTGGCGGTTCGAGCGGTTCAGCTCAGAAGACGACTGAAGTCAGCCGAAGGATGAGCCAGGAGTTGCAGCACTCGGGCCCGAAGCAAAGCCAGCGCCTGTGGATCCTGTGGATGCTCGTTTGGGTACTTCTTTGGTCTCACTCAAAAACTCTGGCACAGAGGATGACCTGGGCCTGCTGGGTTGTGTTCAGAGGTGACTTTGAATCACGCAGAAAACTCAGAAAAACGAGGCTCAAAGAGCAGAGAAAACTTTCAAAAATGGCTTCGCGAAATTAAAGAAAAATCAATCAAAGGCTTAATCTTGAATTGCTATGTGCACAAAAAGTTGAAGTTTCAAAACTTGAACTAAGACGATGTTAAAGAAAAATCAACGTGAATCAACACGTGGCGTGAAACTTAGAAGACTAAGAAAAAGTTCTAAGAGAAAACAAAGAAACGCACCACAGAAGGGTGTGGGCAGAAGAGAAGGGCCCGAGAGTAAGGGGCCTAAGAGAGACAAGGGAGTCAGCACACAAGAGCAGAAGCATAAGAGAATAAGAGAGTGAGCAACCCCACTCCACTGGTTTTATCTTCTCACACTGGGAGTGTCTGAGGAGAAAGAGGAGGGGGTCATCGGGTCTCTGATTATTTGATCTAACTTATTCTTTTGGCTGGTAAAAGAGTCAGATCTGATACTCACTCACTATGATTAATATCATTGAATGCTTGGTTTCATGATAAATAATTTGATACTAAACACATATGAATGAAGTGTAGGATCACATCAAACATTCTCATTATGTTTTAAGTATCACATTGAACATGCTAAATTACTCTGAAATGAAACAGATAGTAACACCTGGAAACTGTGAACAACAAAAGAGTAAACACATGTGAATGAACTTCATCATGATTAATAATGGATTCTAAATACTCACATTAAGGTTATTCAATGACATTATAACCACCTAATGGTTAAAAATACTAAACAAACAACTACAATATAAACCAAACATTTCTAAACTGTTTCTGTTACCTAGAGTTAAGTTATGATTCATAGTCGATAAATTTAACTCTTAAAAGTTCATGGAACAGTCTGAAAAGCTGTTGGTCTAAAGAAACTAAAGAGCGATAACTCGGCTTCTGGAGCACATAGAAAAACGGGAAACATCTCATTTTAACACAAATTTCATGATTAGACAGATTAGTACATTGCTGAATGCATAAGATGTCATGATCAGTCATTTGTATTCTTTCACCAAAGGAATGTAGTCTTTATCAGTGTATGGTCGAGCAGGGTTTTACGACCGAGGTCTGGAGGTCAGTGTCCCCCCCTTTTCCTAGGGTCCGTACGTTCACACGCTTTAAGAAGGTAAATCTCAAATGGGAGATCTGGGTTGAGACGTTAATGTTTATTTAGATGGTCAGCAATGGAGTCAGTTTAAAAGGTAATAAAAACTCTGTCTCTGTTCGCCGAACTGACCAATCATGAAGAGTCAGAGGTTTAGTCAACCTCCGGTTGGGTCACTTATTTAACCTGAAAGTGTAAACGAGTCTGGAAAGATTTATATCCTGTTTCCTGGGACCAGATAAGGAAACTTTCCTCTGAGGAATGTGTGGGTTTCACACCCAGGGTTGTCTTGATTGCCACAGGTACAAACTGATATTTTACAGTGTCCCTATTTTCTTCAACATAAAGGAAATCTTAAGTCTTCATCCCTCTTTACAAAACACTTTAGTTCTCACTAGTTTGATAGTGTTGATCTTGTCGTGACTATGGATCATTGATTATCACCTTTGTTTGTAATAACAGTGAGAGACAACATCAGTTAGTCTGCAGGAAACAGAAGCTGTTGTATGAACTCAGAGTCCGTCATTCTCTCTGTGTCACATGGTAAAGGTACAACACAGTAATGTTTCTACTGTCACCAGTCACAGTCTGCTGCACCATAGTTCATTTGAAGGAGCAAGTCCCAGATCAGGCTCCCAGGAGCTCTGATCAGATGGAGTGGAGGGTGGGTTCAAGGCCTCAGTTCTGTTGTCAATGACAGATATGATCCTCTTTTGGTTCAGAGTTTGAGTAACAAACCATCAGGGAAATGTGAGAATGTGTGCTTTGGGTCATTGTCGCGCTGAAAGATGAAGTTCCTCTTCATCTTCAGCCTTCGAGCAGATAACCGAAGGTTTTGTTCCAACACTGACTGGTATTTGGAACTGTTCATAGTTCCCTCCACCCTGACTAAGGCACCAGTTCCAGCTGAAGAAAAACATCCCCAAAGCATGATGCTGCCACGACCATGCTTCACTGTAGGTATGGTGTTCTTTTGGTCATCAGCAGTGTTGATTTTGAGCCAAATATACTTTTTGCAATGATGCCCAAAAAGTTCAACTTTGGTTTCATCAGACCATGACACATTTTCCCACGTGTTTGGGAGATTTCAGATGTTTTGATGTTTTTCTTTGTAAGATAAGTCTTCCATCTTGCCCCTCTACCCCATAGCTCAGACATATGAAGACAGCAGGAGATTGTTGTCTCATGTTCTACACAGCCAGTACTAGAAGCCAGAAATTCCTGCAGCTCCTTCAGTGTTGCTGTCGGCCTCTTGGTATCCTCCCTGACCAGTTTTCGTCTTGTTTTTTCATCAATTTTTGACGGACGTCCTGTTCTTGGTAATGTCACTGTTGTTCCATATTTTCTCCACTTGATGATGACGGTCTTCACTGTGTTCCATGGTATATTTGATTCCTTAGAAATTCTTTTGTAGCCTCACCTGACTGAGATCTTTGAATACTGAGATCCCTCTGGTGCTTTGGAAGCTCTCTGCAGACCATGGTTTGTGCTGGAAGATGTGTCTAAAAAATGTCTGGAAAAGCTACTAGAACAGCTGAACTTTACCGTTGATCAGAGTCACTGTAATTGGTGACAGGTGTGTGCTGACTCCAATTTAACCTGAGTTTGAATGTTATTGGTTAAATCTGAACACAGCTACATCCCTGGTTATTAAAGGGTGTACACACTTATGAAACCACATGATCTCAGTTGTTTTTTTTTACTTCACCTCCCTGAAGGATTTCTGTTTGTTTTTCAATTGTGTTGTACAGGTTATAGGTCACATTAAACGTGGAAGAAGATCTGAAATTGTTTATCTTGATTTTTTTTACATGACAAAAACCTGGCAGTTAAACAGGAGTGTGTAGACTTTTTATATCCACTGTATTTATTCATTCATTCATGGATAAATACTTGACAGCTATGTGTTTTTAAATATCAGTTTGATCAGGTTTAGTAAAAGATGTTATTTTAATGATTGTACTTTAGATATGTGTCACAGTTGTGACAGTTTACAGAGTCATTATGATGATTGTTGGTCTGAGGGCTCCTCCTCTGGTGGCTTCATGTCACAGGTGTTCAGGCTCTGAGGGGTTTTTGTTCAGCTCTACAGATGGTTTGTGTTGTTGTGGGTCTCTGGCACAGTAATAAACAGTAGAGTCTTCAGTCTTCAGACTGTTCATCTGCAGATACAGCTGCTGTCTGCTGTCGTCTCTGGAGATGGTGAACCGGCCTCTAACTGAGTCAGAGTAGTAGGTGCTACTACTACCAGTATCAATCCAGGCCATCCACTCCAGTCCTTTTCCAGGAGCCTGTCTTATCCAGCCCATATAGTAGCTGCTGAATGTGAATCCATAGGCATAACAGGTCAGTCTGTGGGATTCTCCAGGACGTTTAACCACCGGCTCAGATTCAGTCAGAGTCTGACCAACCAACACCTGAAAAGACAGAAGAAAAAAACCAACAGATTGAAGTGAGTTTGTTGTCATGAGGTGAAAAAGTCCAACTCAGATTAGTGATGATCTCCACCTGTCCAGCAGACAGTCAGAAGCAGCAGTCCTGTCCTATAGTCCATCATGTCAAACTGAGTGTCCACTGTCCTCTGTCCTCCTCTCTGCACTCACTGAAGTAGAGGAGGAAGACGGCTGACTTTGCATTGACTCCTCCCTTCACAGAGAAAATTAATGTCACCTTCATGTTTTGTGGTTTCCATATATTTTCCTTAATTTTCTCATAATTTATCTTCATTATTAACTCCAGTTTGGTCTCACAGTGAAACACAACTTCAGGTACAAACTGATATTTTACAGTGTCCCTATTTTCTTCAACATAAAGGAAATCTTTAGTCTTCATCCCTCTATACAAACATTTTAGTTCTCACTATTTTGATAGTGTTGATATTGTAGTAACTGTGGATCATTGATTATCACCTTTGTTTGTAATAACAGTGAGAGACAACATCAGTTAGTCTGAAGGAAACAGAAGCTGTTGGACGAACTCAGAGTCCGTCATTCTCTCTGTGTCACATGGTAAAGGTACAACACAGTAATGTTTCTACTGTCACCAGTCACAGTCTGCTGCACCATAGTTCATTTGAAGGAGCAAGTCCCAGATCAGGCTCCCAGGAGCTCTGATCAGATGGAGTGGAGGGTGGGTTCAAGGCCTCAGTTCTGTTGTCAATGACAGATATGATCCTCTTTTGGTTCAGAGTTTGAGTAACAAACCATCAGGGAAATGTGAGAACTGCTTCTGAATAAAGTCCCTGATCTGACAATATCTAAGAGGGTGCTTGTTGGTCAGATTATATTGAACTGGACAGGATGAAATAGGTGAAAGAGTTCAGACGAGGATTTTTAAAGTTGGTGGAGGTCATGTAGAAAAGTGAAGACTGAATCATTTAGAGTTTTTAAACAGTAAAGTTGAGTTTTCACTGCTGTTGAATGGATGCACAGATTCACAGTCAGGTTTTCTTCTCAATAATGAAGTCATTGCTGCAGCGATGAGCGTCTAGACGGCCTAAAGAAATCGACTGAAATCAGTCCAGTTATTTTCATGAGTAACTCCCATCATTCAGTGGGAAGTGTCTTTTCAAAGCCCGGACGTTCTCCAGAGCTCCTCACACAGCCATCATCAGTGTAGTTCAGTTTTTGTCCAGCTCTGTCGTCCCCTGTGTCACTGTGGCTCTCGAGCACAATAATAAACTGCAGAGTCTTCCTGTTTGAGGCTCTTCACCTCCAAGTACACAACATTAACCGATGTGTCCTTGGTGATGGAAAACTGGCCCTGTAGACTTTGGACAAATATTGTGCCGGTCCCATCATTGATGCGACCGATCCACTCCAGTCCTCTTCCTGGTTTTTGACGAATCCAGTGCAGCCAAGCCAGAGCAAGTCCTTCCACTTTACAGGACAGAGTGACCGGTTGTCCTGGTCTGCTGACTACTGGTTCTGAGGAGGTGAGGGACTGGCCCTGAGCGGCTGAAAGGGACCCAGAGTTTTAGAGGACAAGGAGTCAGCAGACATGCAGAGATCACTTTCTGCTCCTCTGCTGCTCAATAAAGACACTCACCTGAAATCAGAGCCAAGAGGAGGAACCTTTGGACCCCTGTCATGGTGGAGACTTGGCTCAGCCTATGAGAGTGACGGTCATTATGAAGGATATATAGAGCAGGCAGAGCGGCTGTGTCAGGTGCATCAGCATGTATATTTGCATTTTACTCACCAGAGATTTGGGTGATGATGATGATGTGAAAATGAAACTCTGAGACAGAGACTGTGGACTTCAGACAGACTGAGACACCAACAGTCAAAGATGTCCTTCAGTCTTTCTCCTTATTTGAGTTTTTTTAACCAGTTTTTCACCTTTCCTCCTGTGAGAACGAGTCAGAACAACATGAGATGGTGAACTGATGAACACATGACTCTGCAGTCAGTAACTAATGATAAAGTGAGTGTTAGAGTTCAGTCAGTCAATGGTTTGAGTCTTTGAGTGAAGGTCAGTGAGATAAGCCGGTCTGAGTGTTTCTGAACAGTAAGAGAGGAAAACTTGACACTGACTGCCACCTGCTGTTTCAGAACTGAAATAACATTCACTGGGAACGATTTCTGGAGATGGGTCGCTCTGTTGTTTTTATCCAGGGGGGGATTATTGTGGTTAGACACATTTGTAGTTATTTAATTAATATATACTGTTGTCCATGAAAAAGAAAATTTCACAGTTTCTCAATTTCATAATTTATTTAATCAGAACTGAAATTATTCCAGAGAACTATCAACAACAAGAGTCCTGTAGGTTTTTGTACAGCTGCTCAGCAGACTCCAGTCACTGTGGGTCTCTGGCACAGTAATAAACAGCAGAGTCTTCAGTCTTCAGACTGTTCATCTGCAGATACAGCTGCTGTCTGCTGTTGTCTCTGGAGATGGTGAACCGGCCTCTAACTGACTCAGAGTAGTAGATGTGACTACTACTAGAAGGGTGCATATTAGCGATCCACTCCAGTCCTTTTCCAGGAGCCTGTCTGATCCAGGCCATATAGTAGCTGCTGAATGTGAATCCAGAGGCTGTACAGGTCAGTCTGTGGGATTCTCCAGGACGTTTAACCACCGGCTCAGATTCAGTCAGAGTCTGACCACCAACACCTGAAAAGACAGAAGAAAAAAACCAACAGATTGAAGTGAGTTTGTTGTCATGAGGTGAAAAAGTCCAACTCAGATTAGTGATGATCTCCACCTGTCCAGCAGACAGTCAGAAGCAGCAGTCCTGTCCTATAGTCCATCATGTCAAACTGAGTGTCCACTGTCCTCTGTCCTCCTCTCTGCACTCACTGAAGTAGAGGAGGAAGACGGCTGACTTTGCATTGACTCCTCCTCTCAGAGGAATATCATTTGACTCCTCTCTCACTTTATTGTTGAGGTTATTGAGGTCATTTGTATTTACCCCTCTCTTAACTCATCTTCGCAGCATTGTTGTTGACGTCACATTAAAATCAATATAGCGGATCATGGTTCATGCATGTGCCACCAAACTCTGTCTTGAATGAAGAAAAACAAAAACTACAGAAAATGATTCATCGCTTGTAGAGACAAGACAGTATGAAGATGGCGCTAACTTTTTTTCAGCAGCGGTGCAAACTTTACAGGCGCCTAACTGTTTGTTTAATCTATAACTGTATATATATGTTAATAGGCAAGGTGTGTAGGTCCAAATTTCACATGAGTGTGTATGTCATTGAAACTGATCATAAAAAGGTTTTGGTGTTTTTATAACTAAAGCTAAGGATTTTTTTTTTTTTTTGTAACTTAAACGTTTTCTGTGACCTTATTGTCATCCACCAAACCTCTTGTAAATGTCCGCGTCTTCAGCCTTTTTTTTTAAACACGTGCTTTTATTTTAGAATGAGAAAAGAACCGGAAGTAGCTCTTGCTAGCTACGTAAGCTTCACAGAGACCGTGGCGCACCTTTAGCGGTGTTGTTTCCTGACAGTTTGCTTCTTTTGTTGTGTTTCTCCATGTTTCATGGTGTTTGTTATAAGTTTGAGCATGTGGTTTTATGTGAAGTGTAAGATGAAGAATCTTATTTTTGACTGTGAAGATTGACTCTGAAGACAGACTGCTGTTTGTTGAGACACAGACTAGAGTGGTCTGTATTACTTTGTGTATTATCCATATTAGCTAAATTGCTAAACAGCGCTATTTCTGTAATGATTCCAAAAGCTGATGTTGGCCTTTAAGGTCCTTACACAACAGGACCGAAGCAAACTTACGATCCGAAATTATGAATTATTTGGAGGCGAATTTTGACGTACCTGACTATACACATCAAGCCTGATGTGATTTTGCGACTTTCTGGGGGGGAAAAAAGACACGTCCTGGGTGGAAGTGAGAAGACTGACCCAACAGCAGACTGAGTGTTTTTCAGTTCTGATTAGACTCTAGTGTTGAGATTTCTGTCTGTCATGATAGCATGTACTGAGTCGGGGTCAGAACCAGATAAGAACATTAAACTATAATCCATAAACGTAAGGTAACAACCGAGACCTGATGGTGCTGTGACAGCAACACTGTGATTGAGTTTGAGACAGTGAAAATACTTATGGTATGTTGTATCTGAACAGGTTAGCTGACGAGCTAAAGTTACTTAGTACAGATCAAAGTTAAAACAAAGATAGACTTATTTCATCTGCTATTGGTGGAAAAACGGGCAATGCCGATTATTGTATAAATGATGAATATTGTCTGATATGATCGGCTTTGCCAATTTTTGTTCGATCCTTACTGAGTAAGAGGTTGATCCACGGGTGTCTAAAGACGGGGACACTGTCAACACTTGGCCAACCTGGCTCTTAAAGGGAATGATGGGAGACTCTGTGATTGGTCTGATTCATGTTATACAGAACAAACATAATCAAGGGACTTAATCTGAGATCATTAAAATTAAAACCTTTAAAGTGTCTTTTTCTCTCTGTCTAACACTGAACTGATGTTATGATGATTGTTGGTCTGAGGGCTCCTCCTCTGGTGGCTTCATGTCACAGGTGTTCAGGCTCTGAGGGGTTTTTGTTCAGCTCTACAGATGGTTTGTGTTGTTGTGGGTCTCTGGCACAGTAATAAACAGCAGAGTCTTCAGTCTTCAGACTGTTCATCTGCAGATACAGCTGCTGTCTGCTGTTGTCTCTGGAGATGGTGAACCGGCCTCTAACTGAATCAGAGTAGAAGGTGCTACTACTATCAGTGTATATATAAGAGATCCACTCCAGTCCTTTTCCAGGAGCCTGTCTGATCCAGCCCATTCCATAGCTGCTGAATGTGAATCCAGAGGCTGTACAGGTCAGTCTGTGGGATTCTCCAGGACGTTTAACCACCGGCTCAGATTCAGTCAGAGTCTGACCACCAACACCTGAAAAGACAGAAGAAAAAAACCAACAGATTGAAGTGAGTTTGTTGTCATGAGGTGAAAAAGTCCAACTCAGATTAGTGATGATCTCCACCTGTCCAGCAGACAGTCAGAAGCAGCAGTCCTGTCCTATAGTCCATCATGTCAAACTGAGTGTCCACTGTCCTCTGTCCTCCTCTCTGCACTCACTGAAGTAGAGGAGGAAGACGGCTGACTTTGCATTGACTCCTCCTCTCACAGAGATTGATCCTGTTTTTGTTTACTTCTAACCTGAGGGATTAGGGTGTTAAATTTAACTTAACTTTGAAAATGATTGAAGTTAACAGGAACCTCCCCTCTGTCACCTGTTGGTTGTTAAAGAACCAAATTTTAAATTTGAATCAGAGACACAGAATGAATGTTTTAAATCTGATGAATCAGAGAGTGAGGTCCTCATATTAGCTGTAACTGTACAACAGTAACTCCTGATCAGCTCATCACTGTTTTAAACTGTTTTCATTTTTTGACAACTTAGAGACAAGATACACTTCCAATATGATCCCAATCATTTAATGATTATTATAATAATAACTATTCTAAGAGAACCTGAAAACTCTGACCCATTGTTAGTTATTGTGGAGACACAGTTTTTCAAAGTCAGACAGAGTTTGAGAAAAATATGACATTTTAATGTCAGTGGACAAAAAAATACTGAATATCCGTCAGTGAAAAAATATGTTGATCAATGGAATTAAAACTTAATTGATTCGTTTTTCTATTTATTTTTTTATGTATATATTGATAAATATTGAAGATATTTGTGTGTTTTGAATTCTTGTACAGTCAGGTTTAATGAAATATGTTATTTCAATGATTGTACTTTAGATATGTGTCACAGTTCTGACAGTTTACAGAGTCATTATGATGATTGTTGGTCTGAGGGCTCCTCCTCTGGTGGCTTCATGTCACAGGTGTTCAGGCTCTGAGGGGTTTTTGTTCAGCTCTACAGATGGTTTGTGTTGTTGTGGGTCTCTGGCACAGTAATAAACAGCAGAGTCTTCAAGCTGCATGTTCTGTCCGTTTAGAGTTAATGTTTTACTGGAGGCGTCTAAATCGATGCTGAACTTGTTCTTCAGTGAATCTTTGTAGTAAGTGCCTCCAGTGTGTCTCATCCCAATCCACTCCAGTCTTTTCCCTTCAGGCTGTCTAATCCAGGCTGTGTTGTAGCTGCTGACAGAATAAGAGACCTGACAGGTGATGGTCAGACGTTGACCTGGCTGCACAGTCACAGAGGCTGGCTGAGTCAGCTGTTCACACTTCACACCTGTTGAAAAAGAGAAAATGTTTGGTACCAAATGATGGAGTTGAGCTGTAAAAGAAGAACTGTGGACTTTGACAGATCCAGACTGACTCACATCCAGCTGCCAGCAGCAGCAGCAGCAGCAGAGCTCCAGAAAACATGGTTTATGTTGAAGGTGAGCAGCTGTGAACTCCACTGACAGCCTGATGGACAGTTTTTATAGCTGAGGAACAAGGAAGCTCTCTGAGTTTGCATAGAATCAAACAGATGAAGCAGCAGCAGCAGCAGAGTTGGTCTGACTGCAGACAACACAAGAGTCTGCTCAAAGGTCTTTATCCTCAGAGAGGAACAAGCCTTTTCTACTTCTGCTCTACAGATGATTTATTTATTTATTTTTACATTAGAACGTTTGATTGATCATTTTGAAAGAGTCTCTTTAA